ACACACCACATCACACCATGCACGCACGCACACCACACACACACAACACACAACAACATGCACGCACGCCGCACGCATGCACGCACACACACACACACACACACACAGACAACCCACACACACACACACACAACACACGCGCGCGCACACACACACACACACATACACACGCGCGCGCGCACGCACGTACGCACGCACGCACACAAACCCACACGCACAACATATATATATATATAAAGATGTCAGACCCCCTATACTACATATTAGAAAATGAGGACGATTTTCCTCGTGGTCGCTGATTTTTAATCGACTCGTGATTGCTTTACCTGATAAAGAAGGCGTGTCTCCTTTTAATACGGAACTATGACTAGCGTTTCTGGCCGGATCTTAAATCAAGAGTTTTTTTATCGTCAACTATAATCATATCAATATTCACCGGGCGATGTACAGCGGGTCCAATTTGCGATAGTAGATTCTGAAGATTCACACAGGCACACGTGATGTTTACATTCGGAACCATATATTTATTATGCAAACAGCATATGACTGTCATTTCCTTAATAAAATTTAGCAAAAAATTCAAGTGATATTCCAACTCATACGCCCATCTGGGTGTACAGAGGGCGGAGATTTGTAAGTCAGATAATACACAGTAAATAGCCAAACGCAAAACCTCCCATGATAATGTACAATAATTATTTACACAACTAGCTTCGAATCTATAACCTCAGATATCAAAACCGGTAACGCATAGATATACACATGCATGATCGAAGTTCGTATTTACGCTAACGTATCTCAGTGCCAATTCAAATTGGGTTCCACCCTGTTCTCTTTTAATCTAGATCAATTTCCCATGAGTAATAAAGCGATGACGTGTATACACCAGCGATACGATTTGCTCTGGTTTGCTCTGCTTAGGTAACGCTATGACCAACGCGTAAGTTATATATATATAATATTATGTACTCCTATTACGTACTCTTGATATATATATATATATAATAAATCGTCAATTAGTTCCATATGCGATAGAGAGTGCAGAGAGCTAGCTACAAAGTGCCACTGTAATGTAATATATATGCGCTTAAAGATCGATTTATTACCGCGCCAAATGTTTGTCCGTTAACAGTTGCGCACGCGCAGATGTCTGTAATATTTAATCGCATGAAATTGTTTCACTGCATGGCAATCTCTCATGGCTCCATGTGAAGATGACAAAATACTAATTTAAGCTGATAATTAAGCCTATAACTAGTGGTAATACCAGATATATAATTAGATTCATATTTAGATTTTGGCCTCTGTAGACCGGCAACAGCGTTAGCCGCACGGTGGCGCCACTGACGCACGCGGCTCGTTTAAAACCCTGATTCTGTAAATGAACTTATGAAGTATAAGGATAGACCTAACATACCTAACCCGTGTTTGCCATTAAAACCAGCACGTGTCTGTAATTTTAAGGCACCATATAGATATCACCCGATTAATGATAATAGCAGGTAATATAGACTATATTATACACTCCTGATAATAGAGCACGCTCATATAACAACTACCGATGCTACAACTGGCTGCTATGAAACTTCAAAATATAGTACTGCGTTTTTTGCTGGATTTCGAAGACAAGCGAACGAAACAGACCGTGTACTACATAGTACATACGCGATCTCTCAGGATATAGACTGTCTTTGTTTAGGTTTTAGGTGCATGCATGCGTACGCCGCAGTGCTGTTGTCGGTTGACTTCTGCTGGCCTTATTTTCTGGGAATTGTGTGTGAGTGTGTGTGCGCGCGCGTGTGTTTGCGTGTGTGTGTATGTGTGTATGTGCGCGCGCGCGTGCGTGTGTGTGTGTTTGTGTGGCGTGCATGCAGCAATGCTCTTGTAAACTCAAATCTGCTGAAAAAGACGCATGTTTATTGGAGTCCACTGAGCGTTCCGTTATGGCGATTTTGATTATCGCTGTGGAATAAGTTGACACACCGTCCCACTATCGTGCACAAACTTCTGCATACGCCCATCTGGGTGTACAGAGGGCGGAGATTTGTAAGTCAGATAGCACACAGTAAATAACCAAACGCAAATCCTCCCATGATAATGTACAATAATTATTCACACAACTAGCTAACTAACTGACACAAAAAATAAAAAATAAACTATATATTTATGTGTCAGTGTGCAGCAGCTAGCGTGCGGCAGCCAGCGTGTGTTGCAGATAAACATTTGGACGGCATTTACAAGAAATTGTCGGCAATAATAGGTGAAAAAGAGTAGAGAAACATTAAGACTTTGGTAATAAATGAATTTCGTATTTATTTAACGTTATGTTTTATTGAAACCCTCCAAGTGCCTGAGCACACACACACACACACCACACACACACACACACACACACACACGCACACACACACACACACACACACACACACACACACACACACACACACTTCTCTCTCTCTTTCTCTCTCTCTCTATCTATCTATCTCTCTCCTCCTTAATTATTTACTCCTGGCATTACTCCTCGAAGGACATATCCAAACAGATGAATTCTATCACACGTAATGTCCATGTACTTTCTTCATAACTACATTCAGTATTAACTACACCATAACTACTTCAAGTATTAAACATTCGGTGGTTTTTTATTCACAATATTTTAACTTATTGCAACCATGTTCTGCTTAAGCCGTAAAGACCCTCGGTGTTCCATATGTGTGAAACATAATCCCAGGGACTGTTACAATTATTGTTTACAAATTTTTTTTATTTCCATGATGTTAAAAGGTTATTTGTAAATATTTACTTAATTTGTATTGCATAATATGTATGTATTCTTCCGCAGTTTAATTACTATGTGCATTATTACTAATAAAAGACATTTTTCTTTTACTCATCTGAGCTTCTATTTGTACTTAGCAGTTTTTTACTGTCAGGTAACTAGTGATAACTAGAGAGACATCTCTTCATTAAATAGATTTGTGTTTGATTGGATTTGAAGAACAGTTATTTTTTATTGCCTTTTAGAGAGGTACCTTTCCATAATCCTGAGTGCATCCCTAATCAATATCTAACTTTCTATGAGTAGACTTTCTATAAATATCTAACTCGAAAACTGTCATTCAGCCTCCACCATTCAACCTAGTTAAACACTGCGTGATTCATGATAATACCGTAATCTTTGTAAAACTTAAATAAATATTTGAACAACACTATGAAATTGCGATAAACAACAACACGAACCCAGTCATTTCTCTACCCACATTCTCACATTCTCTGCGCGTTTTTTTATATTTTTAACGTTCGTGGTTCCCAACCCGGTATATTGCGAATTTTACTACAACAAAATATAAAATACACCCACTCCACCCCGCCAAATATGACTGCGGACTTTATAAAACAGATGAAGAAGCTAACCCTTGAAACGACGGAGTTCCCCCTAATCGTGGTTAGACGGTTGTTTGTGCAGCTGCTTCGTCGATTAGGTTAGACGTACATCTGTGCTCCTGACTCCCCAGACACGCGAGTCTGGCTTCTCTAATAACGACTTCGCGTTCGTCGGACTCTCGCGCTTTGACGAGGAAAAGGACGTCGCGAGGAGATACGCAGGCGATCGTCTTTCTAAAACATCAAGAACGCGAACGCAGTCATCCAGCGCGTACTGTTAGGCGCAGTTCTGTCTAACATATAGCGACGTATATATCCACGCAGCAGGGGTGAGTCGTGCCACGACCAGGGTTGCTATGATCCGGTGTTTTATTTGAGAAGCTCGGCTCTACCTCTCCAACTGCGCCGCGGTACGTGGGATTTGCGATGCGCTAGATGCGCTAGATGCGCTAAATAGCTCTGCTGGTTGGGGGGGGGGGTGAGTTACGAGGGGAAGAGTACGAGAAGGCTAAGGTTCTGTGCTTGTGTATTGAACGGGTTGGATGTGGCGGCGATGTCAGGAAGAATTTGCAACGCCATGGGACATCGGTTTATGAAGAGAAAACACGGCACGGTAGCCTGGGGAATGTCGTGGGCGTTATCGAACTTTCAGCTAAGATGTCCTTCACGCACACACACGCGCACATGCACGCGCACGCGTACGCGCACGCGCACGCACACACACACACACACACACACACACACACACACACACACACACACACACACAC